TCTCTATCCCTCTCCCTTCCTCTCTGTAAAAAAATCAATAAAATATATATTTAAAAAAAAAAAAAAAAGAATGCTGGTTCAATGACTGGTTGGGGCACAGCCCGGGTTGTGGACTGGATCCCCAGTAGGGGGCGTGCAGGAGGCAGCCACTGATGCCACATTGATGTCTCTCTTTCTCTCCCTCCCTCTCCCTCTAAAAATCAATTTTTTTTTGAAAATATATTTTATTGATTTTCACAGAGAGGAAGGGAGAGTGATAGAGAGCCAGAAATGTCGATGAGAGAGAAACATCGACCAGCCGCCTCCTGCACATCCCCGATGTGCCTGCAGCCAACGTACGTGCCCTTGACCGGAATCGAACCCGGGACCTTTCAGTCCGCAGACCGACGCTCTACCACTGAGCCAAACCGGTTTCGGCTAAAAATCAATTTTGAGAAATCTTAAGAAACACACGCATACACACAACCTGGCCAGTTGCTCAGTGGTTAGAGCGCCAGCCCAAGTCACGTCTTTGATTCCCAGTCAAGGGCACGTACCTGGGCTGCAGGTCGGATCCCTGGCCCCGGTCAGATGAGAGGCAACCCACCGGTGTGTCTCTCTCACATCGATATTTCTCTCTGTCTTTCCCTCTCTCTTCCACTCTCCCTAAACACCAATGGGAAAAAATACCCTCTGATGAGGATTTAAAAAAAAAAAAAAAAAGGCAATTGGAGCTACTGGCCGCCTCCTCCCAGGGCCCAGCCTCCACCTCCATGACCTCCATCATCCCTGCCGGCCCTGCCATGCTGGGGTCTCATCACCATGGAGACGGGCCACGGCCCTGAACCCCAGTGAGCTCTGGTTTCCCGCCGATCCGCTCACCCCATCCGGCCCCTGCCTCCCCCACCTGGGCCCAGCTGCTGGGCTGGAACCACAGCTGGAGGAGCCCAGCAGCGGGGGCTGCCCGCCAAGTTTTCATCGGAAAACCGTTCCCAGCAGCTTTCAGGCCGGCGGCTCCGAGCGCCAGGACACGGAGCTGGGATTCTTGACATGCCTCCGTCCCAGGAAATCACTGTGAGGCCGTCAGACGGCGGATGGAGTGTCCGCAAACGGAGACAGCTGCTCGCCTCCCACGGCCACAGTGCGCAGGTCAGGAGGGACCCGGTGCCTGGCAACCCGTCCTCCGGCTGCCAGCCGGCCCGCAGGAGGCCAGAAGAGGCACCGGAAGTGGGGAGGACCACGATCCCGGACAAGTTGTCCCCCCTCCCTCAGGCCCACAGAGATCAGACACCATCAGACCCTCTTATGTCACATCTAGGGAAACAGAGGCTCATGGGAAGAGAACGGTGAGCCCGTGCTCCCCTTGTGTCTGCTTTGGGGTCCCCAGACCTGAACTCAAACCCCGGCCCAGACAGCCACCTGCTGTCTGACCTGGAGTATATTTGCCCAACCTCTCTGAGCCTCCAGTTCTCCTTCTCCTTCTCCTTCTTCTCCTTCTCCCTCTCCTTCTTCCTCCTCTTCTTCCTCTTCCTCTTCTTCTTCTTCTTCCTCTTTTTTTTTTTTTTTTTTTTAAATGTCTTTTGCCGAAACCGGTTTGGCTCAGTGGATAGAGCATCGGCCTGTGGACTGAAAGGTCCCGGGTTCGATCCCGGTCAAGGGCATGTACTTTGGTTGTGGGCACATCCCCAGTAGGGGGTGTGCAAGAGGCAGCTGATACACCAAGACCGGTTTGGCTCAGTGGTAGAGCGTCTGCCAGCGGACTGAAAGGTCCCGGGTTCGATTCCGGTCAGGGGGATGTACCTGGTTGCCGGCACATCCCCGGTGGGGGGTGTGCAGGAGGCAGCTGGTCGATGATTCTCCCTCATCGACATTTCCAGCTCTCTATCTCTCTCCCTTCCTCTCCGTAAAAAAATCAATAAAATATATATTTAATAAATAAATAAATTGTAGCTGTATCTCAATGAGCAGCTGCTTCTCTCCGGCTGGGTGTGGCCCTCCCATGCTGGCCAGGCCACAGGGTGGACAGGTCACTGAGACGCTGGAGCCCCTGGGGAGGCCCCGGGGCTGGGGTGGCCACCATCCGGGTGCCTCCTCCTGGCGGCGGCTCAGCCTGCAGCCCGCAGGCCCCTCCTCAGGCCTCCGCTCTGGCCAGCGTCCCGTCTGAACCTCCCGTCCCCGGCGCCGGCTCAGGTTTCCACGAAGGGACTGAGAACGACGGAGAGCTTGTGGTCAGGCCAGCCCGGTCCCACCCGCGGGCGGGAGCGGAAAAGTACTCGGTGTGAGGCCGGAGCCCCGGAGAGGGCCCGACTGGGGACACGCAGCCCTGTGCCCTCCGGCCGGTGCTGGCGTGGGACACTCACCTCTCCGGGCAGCCTGGTCCCCCGAGGCCCCTGGCTCCCTTTCTGTTCTCTTAAATGTATTTTTATTGGTTTCAGAGAGGAAGGGAGAGGGAGAGCCAGATAGAAACATCAATGATGAGCCAAAACCGGTTTGGCTCAGTGGACAGAGCGTCGGCCTGCGGACCGAAGGGTCCCAGGTTGATTCCGGTCAAGGGCATGGACCTTGGTTGCGGGCACATCCCCGGTGGGGGGTGTGCAGGAGGCAGCTGATCGATGTTTATCTTTCATCGATGTTTCTAGCTCTCTATCCCTCTCCCTTCCTCTCTGTAAAAAAAATCAGTAAATTAAAAATCAATAAATTATAGTTAAAAAAAAAAAAAACATTAGCCCTAACCAGTTTGGCTCATGGACAGAGCACCGGCCTGTGGGGACTGAAGGGTCCCGGGTTCGATTCCAGTCAAGGGCATGTACCTTGGTTGCAGGCGCATCCCCAATAGGGGGGGTGTAGGAGGCAGCTGATCGATGTTTCTCTCTCATCAATGTTTCTGACTATCCTCCCTTCCTTTCTGTAAAAAAAAAAAAAATCAATACAGTATATATTTTTTTAAATGATGAGAATCATGGACCGGCTGCCTCCTGCATGCCCCACACTGGGGATGGAGCCAGCAGCCCGAGCCTGCGCCCTGACCGAATGGAACCCAGGACCCTTCAGTCCGCCGGCCGACGCTCTATCCGCTGAGCCACACCGGCCAGGGCGGCCCTGGTTTCCTTTCCAACTTGAAGAGGTCTGGGAGACGCGACAGGGCCCTGTCCCCCAGAACATCGTGTCCGTGGGTGCCCGCACGTCACCCCCGCCCGGCTGGGGGCACTGGGATGACGCAGGCTCTGCCTGGCAGCTGACCCATCGCTCTCCCACTCCTGTCACGCCGACCGAGCCCCACCGGCCCCGAGCCCCAGCCCTGACAGCTCCCCCCGCAGCGGGGGGGGGGGAACGCTCAACCCCAGTCCTGCCCCCTGCCCCCTGGCAGCGGCGCCAGCTCCGGGAGGCCTCTTGGCTTCGTCAGGCGCTGGGTGTGCCTGCCACCCTCATTTCTTCTGTTTCTCTTTCCAGAGCGATTTTTTTTGACAGCCCGTCATTAGTCAGTGGAAACACTTCCTTTTAAGGAAACTGGAGCATTCTTTGGGGGGAGTAGGGGGGTACGAAGGTTGACATTTAAGTTTTTTTGAGAGGAAGGGGGAAAGAGAGAAACATCATGTGAGAGAGAAACTCCAGCCGTCTGCCTCCTGCGTGCAGCTGGACTAGGGCCCGAACCTGCCACCGAGGCCCGTGTCCCGACTGGGAACCGAACACACCACCGTTCAGCGTGCAGAGCCGTGCTCCCGCCGACGGGGCCACACCGGCAGGGCTCTCCTACCTTTTTAAAAAAATATATACTTTATTGATTTTTTACAGAGAGGAAGGGAGAGGGACAGAGAGCTAGAAACATCGATGAGAGAATCATCGACCAGCTGCCTCCTGCACACCCCCTACTGGGGACGTGCCTGCAACCAAGGTACATGCCCTTGACCAGAATCGAACCTGCGACCCTTCAGTCTCCAGGCTGACACTCTATCCACTGAGCCACACCGGTTTCGACTGCCTTTTTTTTTTTTTTTTTTAATTTTTTTTAGAGAGAGTGGAAGGGAGGATGGAAGACAGAGAGAAGCAGCATGGATGGGAGAGAACACATCCATCCATTGAGGTGGGGTTGCCTCAATGGGGCTGGGGATCGAGCCTGCCACTGAGGTCCAGCTCTTGACCAGAATTGAACCTGTGACCCTTCAATCCTTGGACAGATGCTCTAACCACTAAGTCAAAGGGCTGAGGCACCTTCTGGTGTTTTTATACAAAACCCCGCCCTCCTGTTAGGCGTCCAGGGGTGTGCAGGAGGCAGCCGATCCATGGTTCTCTCTCGTTGATGTTTCTCTCTCACTCCCTCTCTCTGAAGTCAATAAAAATGTATTTTTAAAAATGACAACCGAAACCGGTTTGGCTCAGTGGATAGAGTGTCAGCCTGCGGACTGAAGGGTCCCGGGTTCGATTCCGGTCAAGGGCATGTGCCTTGGTTGCAGGCACATCCCCAGTGGGGGGGGGGTGCAAGAGGCAGCTGATGATTCTCTCTTCATTGATGTTCCTAAGTCTCTATCCCTCTCTCTTCCTCTCTGTAAAAAATCAATAAAATATATTTAAAAAAATAATAACAAAGGCCTCCACCCAGACCAGGGAAGGTCGGGCAATAAGAGACACTACAGCCTTTCAGGGCCTCGCGCTCAGGGCGAGGCGCGGTGGCTCAGAGCGGCCAGGGCCTGCAGGCTGCAGAGGCCAGACCACCGAGCCTGGTTGCCGGCGGGATCCGGGAGGCTGAGGGCTCTGCAGGGCCGGGCCGGGCATGGCGGGGCACCCCTGCCCCTGGGCTTGGCACAGTCCGTGTCCCTCTGCCCGCTATCAAACCAGGCGGCCCAAAGCTCTCGCTCCTCGGAGTGACTGATGCTGCTTTGTGTCCCGACTCTGTCCAGCGGCCCCTCCCCAGCGGCGGCCACGCCTCCCTCCCCGAGGCCCACTGGGCGCCCGGGCCCTTCGCCTGCCGCCCCGCCCACCCAGAGCCCACCCAGAGCGCCACAATCACCACCACGCACACCACGTCGTCTCAGGAAACTTTAATGACAGTGTCAGCAGTCCCCTCCCCGACGGCGCACACGGGTGGCCGAGCTCAAAAGCAGAAGCGCAGCCGCCGAGACCGGCCCGCCCAGCCCCAGTGGCAGGCGGCCCCCAGACCCCGGGGCCAGGGCTGGGCGGCCTCGTCTCCTGGCGCATCTGGGCCCCCGGGCCTTCCCCTGCCCCCTGCCGGCCCGGCCAACCGGGGGCCTGCGCCGAGAGGGGACCGCGGGGGCCGCCATCGTGGCCCAGGAAGGAGCGCTGGACAGCGACGAGGAGCGGCCACTCGGCCGGGAGGCGGCACACGCTCCATATAAATAACACGGGAGGCGGCGGGCGAGGGCAGGGACGTTGGCACAGACGTGGGCGTATTGCTTTCCAGTTTCGATGCGACAGATGCAAACCAGGGGCGCCGGGGAAGGGGGACCCAGGCTGGAGGTGTGCGGAGACGGTCGGGCCGGAGGGACCCCGGGAACCCACTGGGCCCAGAAACGGGCGAGGACAGAGAGCCCCGCGCCCTGCCCTCATCCCCGGGGTGGGGGGTGGGGAGGTGGAGGAGGGGTGCCGTGTTAACACGGGAGAAAATAAAGGACAGCTAAATAAATACAGTATGCAGACGGCAGGCCTTCAAGTGACCTTGTCTCCTGGGCCCCTGGCACCTGGGTGAGCCCTGCCAGGGCCCCAGGGCGCGGCAGGAGCGTGGGCCAGCGCCACCGCCATCGCTGACAACGAAACACCTTTTCCTGAGTCGCTGCATGGCTTCCCTCCTCCGACTCCTCGCACCCTCTCTTCCCGCCAGACCGGCGCGGACACTGCGCCCCTTCTCCCCTCGCCCCGACCCGCTGTTTATTGATTTACTTGTTTGTTTTTAAATCCTCAGCCAAGGATGTTTTCAGAAAGAGGAGAGGGAGGGAAAGACAGAGAGAAATACTGATGTGAGTGTGACACATCGATGGGTCGCCTCTTGCACGCACCCCGAACCAGAGCCTGGCTGGGGAGGAGGAGCCTGCCACTGAGGGGCGTGCCCTTGACGGGAATCGAACCCGGGACCCTGAAGTCCGCAGGCCGACGCTCTGTCTGCGGAGCCAACCGGCCAGGGCCCAAAACCCCTCTTTAAAAAAAAAAAGATGGATACGGTGTCCATAGACCTGTTTCTTCAAAACACTTAGTGGCTTCCCATGCTCTCCCCTTTAGGCAGAGGGTCCGAGGGCTGGCAGGGGCGTGCAGAGCGGGGAGCGGGCGGGAGGGGGCACGCCTGTCCTTCCGCCTGCTCTGGGATGGGAGTCGCCGCCCTCAGCCCGGGCCTGGCCCCCGGTGCCCAGGAGACTCGGCGCCCGTCCGCTCCCGATGCAGACAGACAGAGCGGGCGCTCAGAGGAACACAAAGCGTAGATACCTTCTGAGTCCGTCCGGAAGAAAATTAGAAACTACGTATAAAACTTAAAAATATTCAAGTATCAAAAAGGCGATTCGGATCAAAAGGTTGAACGCAAGCCGATGCCGGTGCAGCGAGAAGAAGCCGTTCCAAAAGGGTGCAGAGTCTGTTCCGCAGAGCGGGGACCTGGGGAGGGCGGGGGGGGGGGGGCGCTGAGCTAGAGACCGGCCTTTGCAGGCTGCAGGCCAGCGGGTGCTGGGCGGGAGGCTGGGCTGGCATGGGGGGCCGGGGTCACTCTCCCCGGAGGAGGAAGGGGCCATAAAGTGCGCAGCCCCGGCCTCCTGCCCCCTGGTGGCCGGGCCTGGGTGTCACACGGGCAGCTGCCCTCCCAGGGGCACAGGATCTGCAAAAGCAAAGCCACAGCCACAGCAAGGGACAGGGAAGAGCCCCCTGGTGCCCAGAGATCCTTCTAGAAAGCGAGGGGAGAGAGGAAGGAGGCGAAAGGGGCCCGATGCCGCACAGTGTTGACCTTGCTTTCCGCGCCCCGTTCCCCACGGGAGTCGTACGTTTTAAGTCAGGAAAACCCCAGCGCCCCCGCCCCCACCCCCACGGGGACCCCCACGGTGCGCAGCAGCAGCAGTGTTTGTTCAGGACACGACCGCGAGGGGAGGGTGCCTCTTGACAAGGGATCCAGTAGAAATCTTTGAAAAGTCTGAAAAGTTCATTAAAAAAAAAAACCACCACTCCTTCCGCCCGCTCTGGGGCCAGGCCTGCACGCGGAGCCGTGCTGGCTCTGGGGCGCCCTCTGGTGGCGGCAGACCAGAGCCGGAGGCCAGCGGGGAGCTCAGGGGCCCGGCACCGCCCAGGCCTCTGGGCCTTCTGCCTCGGGTAGCGGGCCGTCACTTGGCAGACGGCCTGGCTCTCGGGGGCGGCCCGAGGACGCCTCAAGAAGATGCGGATCCTGCTCCGCGGTGGCCTGTCTCGCCGGGAGTGTCCCAGGCCGTGCCGGCGGCTTCCTGGAGTCGGAGGAGTCGGGCCTTTAGACTTCCGTGGAGAACAGGATGCTCTGTCGCTTGCTGTCGGGAGCAGGGATGGCCTCCAGCTGCAGGAAGTACAGCAGCACCTGGACCTGCCCAGGGGAAGGGAAGCAGCTTAGAAGGATGCTCACAGCGCAGGCCTGGTCTCTGAGGCCCCAGGGCCAGCTCGGGGTGCGCCATGAGCCCCTCACAGCAAGACCCCGGGTGCCCTGAAGGACCACCCCGAGAAGCCCAGGAAGGTGCAAAGGGAGAGGCCTCCCTAGGTGGATCCCCCTCTGGCCACCTCCCCCATACAATTTTATTTTATTTTATTTATTATCATCATATACATATATATTTTTAATATATATTTTATTGATTTTGTACAGAGAGGAAGGGAGAGAGATATAGAGTTAGGAACATCCATGAGAGAGTGTCATCGATCAGCTGCCTCTTCGACTGGGGACATGCCCGCAACCAAGGTACATGCCCTTGACCGGAATTGAACCCGGGACCCTTCAGTCCGCAAGCAGATGCTCTATCCATTGAGCCAAACCAGTTTCGGCTCACCCGTACAATTTTAAATATATATATATATACATTTGCATTGATTTCAGAGAGGAAAGGAGAGGGGGAGGAGAGAGAGAGAGAAAATGAACGAGAGAGAATCATTGACCGGCTGCCTCCTGCACGCCCCCTATTGGGGATCGAGCCCGCAACCCGGATACGTGCCCTTGACTGGAATCGAACCCAGGACCCTTCAGTCCTCAGGCCGACGCTCTATCCACTGGGCCAGACAGGCTGGGGCTCCCCGGTACAAGTTGAGTGGCGTCTGGCAGGAATTCGGGGGGGGGGGGAGCAGGCCGAGGCCACCCCAGGGTGAGGCAGGGTGCCACGGCCGGAGCCCGTGTGCTCACCTGGGACATGACCTCCAGGGACCAGCTGTCCGCCATGGAGATGGGCTGGCCGGGCGTGGCGGGCAGCTTGCTCTCCTTCTCCGAGGGCCGGAGCAGCGTGGGTCCGAACACCGTGGCCAGGTTGTGCAGGGACATCTTGTTCACCGTCTCCTTCTCTGCCACCCTGCGGAGCCGGAGCACAGGGCGCTGCTGGGACGCCGCCCTCGGACGGAGGGGAGGCCCCGGGCCAGGCCCACCCTGTGCCCCTGGGTCCGAGGGGCCCAGACGGAGAGGACCGAGGCCAACAGGTGGCAGGGCCAACCCGGGGCCGTGACCTTGGCCGGGAGGGGGGAGGGTGGGGTCCAAGCACAATGCTGGCTGTGAACAAAGCATCTCACTTTCCCCCCCAAATATATTTTTATTGGTTTCAGAAAGGAAGAGAGAGGAGGAGAAGAGAGAGAAACATCGATGAGAGAGAATCACCGACCCGGTGCCTCCTGCACGCCCCACACTGGGGACGGAGCCCACGGCTCAGGCCTGTGCCCTGACCGGAACCGAACCCTGACCCCCCGGCCGGGCTGAGCGCCTCACTTTAAGGCCGGGTGCAGAGGGGGCGGGTGGGGAGAGGGAGGAGGGTGGCTGTGGCTCCAGTGCCCAGGGGGGTGAGAAACCCCAGGTGCCGAGGAGTCTGAGGGGAGCCCGCGGGGCGCAGAGAACTGGGGCAGAGCCGGAGTACCTCTTCAGGTGGTCCAGGAGGAAGAGGAAGGTCAGCAGGTTGGCCTCCGGGAGCGACAGCAGCAGGTTCAGCATGCAGCTCTCCTTCGCCACGGGGTCCGAAAGAGCTGTGGGAAGGGGGAGGGGGTGTCAATTCTTGGGGTCCCTGGGGGGTCATCCTCGGGCTCACACGCTCGGGAGTCTGTGACGGGAGCCCAGCCCGGGGACCCCCATCGCCCTGTTCACGATCGGGGGACGCGGTCCCGATCGAACAGCCCCGGAGGCGGGGTGCAGAGGCTGCGGCTGCCCCTACACCAGTGGCCCCCCGTGCCCCGGACACTGCCCCGCAGGCCGACCTGGGGTCAGGGGAGCAGGACAAGGGCTCCAGGGACCAGGAGGAGCCATCGCGACCCCATCCCCACCCCCGGACAGGCGCCCGCACTCAGAGGGGGGGACGGCAGGTCAGGGAGGACGCGGGCTTGGTTCTGGGGCCCCCGGCACCTGCCGCGTATGGGCTGGACCCCGGAAAGAGGCGGGGAGCGGGGGGCGGGGGGCGGACCAGAGCCGAGGGGGTCTCCCGGTGCTCACCGATGCCCTCGGCGAAGCTGGGGTAGAACTCGTCGGTGAACAGCGGCTCGGGCAGCTCCCGGAAGTAGAGCTTGAGGGTGCCGGCGATGGCGTTGACGTCCATCTCGCTCATCATCACCGACACGTCCTTGTTGTCTGCAGGAGCGGAGGCGGCGGTGAGCCCCGCCCCGGAGCCGCCCGCGCCCCTGCCCGCTGCCTGCCTTCCGGGGCCGCTCCTGAGCCGCTCACCCACCCCTCCAGCCCCCTCCCTGCCCGCCCGCCCCCCACACCGCCCGCTGGGGGGCCGGGGACGGAGGCAGCCATCGGGGGCTGGACCCGAACCAACCGCCCAGCGGCGGTGCCTTCGTTTTATCTGCTGTGAGGCCTCATCTCCCATGACTTTCAGAGGGAGTGGAAGAGGGGTGGGGAGACGGGGAGACGTGGATGTGACAGACACATCGATGGGCTGCCTCTCTGCCCCGACCAGGGCCGGCATCGAGCCCGCACCCCGTGCCCGTGCCCTTGGCTGGAATCGAACCCGGGCCCCTCCAGTCCACAGGCCACCGCTCCGCCCACTGAGCCACACTGGCCGGGCCTGGATGTGGTGTCCTCTGACAACAGGAAGACACCATTATTGGCTCCGTTTCAGGGGTTAAGCCGGTGCCTTCCCTTGGGGCTGCGGTGGCCGCCGAGGGCCCTGTGGGGTCTGTGTGCGGAGGGGAGGGGGACAGACCCGCAGGCCGCCGGGCCCTGGGCTTCGGCCGGCGCCTCTGTGCCCCGCGCTGCCCCCGGAGCAGGCTGAGCCCCAGCAGGGAGGCCCCGAAAGCCCCGGTCCCGCTGGGCGAGAGCCAGGCCCGGGCCCCGGGCTGAGAACTGGTGTCTGCGGCCCCGCCTTCCACCCGGCTTTCCTCTGGCTTTTGGGGACGAGAAAGCGCACAGCGCGGCGGGCGCCCCGGCCGCGAGGCCCCGGAGAAGCACGGCCCCCGCCCCGCCCGCCCCGCGCCCGGCGCCACTCACTGACGTCGAAGGCGGCCTTCAGCGCCTGGATGTCGGTGGCCACGCCGGACACGCGGTAGATGCCCACCTCCTCCATGCCACGGCGCTCGATCTCCTCCACGCACTGCCGAACGATGTAGGGCACCTTGGACCGCTCCCTCCTGCGGGGACGGTGCCCGTGAGTGCCCGGCGGCCCGGCACCAGCCACGGTGGCACAGCCATGGGGGGCACAGCCACAGGGGGCACGGCCACGGGGGCACAGCCGCTGCCGTCCGGACGCCTGGGGCCGGGCGTGGCGAAGGGGCCGGGTGTGAGCTCCCGATGACCCGTGACGGGGGAGGAGAGCCTGCGCTCTCAGTCCCGGGGGGGCGTGTGTGGGGACCCCCGCATCGGGGAGGAACAGGGACGGTCCCGAGCCTGTAGGGTAAGCTGTGCAGGAAACACAGTCCCCGGGGCCTGGGAGGCACAGAGGGGAGACACACATGCGCTCTTTCCTCTACAAACACCGTGGGGGAGGGGAGGGGGGTACACCGTGGGGGAGGGGAGGGGGGGACACCGAGGGGGAGGGGAGGGGGGGACACCGTGGGGGGGGAGGGGGGACACCGTGGGGGAGGGGAGGGAGGGACACCGTGGGGGAGGGGAGAGGGGGACACCGTGGGGGAGGGGAGAGGGGGGACACCGTGGGGGAGGGGAGGGGGGGACACCGAGGGGGAGGGGAGGGGAGACACCGAGGGGGAGGGGAGGGGAGACACCGTGGGGGAGGGGAGAGGGGGGACACCGTGGGGGAGGGGAGAGGGGGGACACCGTGGGGGAGGGGAGAGGGGGACACCTCGGGGGAGGGGAGAGGGGGGACCAAGCCCCGGACACGCACTTGGTGACCACGGCAATCTTGACCCCGAAGACGCCCGTCTGCTTCCGGGACGGCAGCCTCTTCAGGCTGAACTCCCTGCTGGTGAACTTCACCGACAACTTCACCTCGATCTGGGGGGAGAGGGCACGGCCTCGCCCACTGGTCCTCACAGCCCAGCGCCGGCGGACCTCCCCTGCCCCCGGGGCAAGCAGCCCAGGCCCAGCGCCCGGCGGACCCCCCCTGCCCCCGGGGCAAGCAGCCCAGGCCCAGTGCCGGCGGACCCCCCCTGCCCCCGGAAGCGCCGGCCCAATCAGCACCAGCAGGCCGGGGCCGGGGCCGGGGCCGGGCCAGGCCGGGCCGGCGGTGGCAGAACTGCCCCCCACAGCCCCGTGGCTTCTCTTTTTAATTTAATTCTTTTAAACTTCTTGCTTCTCTCCCTCTCTGTCTCCCTCCCTCTCTAAAATGCCTCAGATCTGCCAGTTCACTCTGGTTTCTGTGTGCTGGTCCTCACCCGAGGGTATTTTCCCATTGATTCTCAGGGAGCGGGAGGGAGAGGGAGGCAGAGAGCAAAGGGCCTGAGGACTGGCCAGGGGCTCAGTCCCCCAGGCGGAGGCCCTGCTGTCCGGGCGGCACCTCCAGCCTCGTGCTCCGGAGGGAAGCTCAGTGCCGGGCCGCTGGCCGCTGGCCGCAGGCCGCACTCCGCACGCACGGGGTCCCTCCCTCCCTCCTTTCCTCCCTCCCTCCCTGTGCAGAGGACTCTGCTCACCGGCTTCCTCCCCCTCCTCCAGGCCCACCTCCCTCCTACACGTCCGGCCATGCTGGCCTGCTGCTGGGGTGAGCGGGTACGTACCCCGTTCATGGCGATGACCGTCCGCTGCCAGTCTCTGTCCTGCAGGGCCTGGGGGTCCAGCTGGAAGCACGGAGTCGCGATTAGCAGAGGCCCCGGGACCCGTGCCGAGGCCCTGCCCGGCCGCAGCCCACGCCCGCTGCTCCCCACACCCGCTCCCCCACACCTGCTCCCCACACCCACATCGCGATCAGAGCCGCGCCTGGGCCGGCACCTCTATCCAGGACAAAGGGGCCCCCGGAGGGGAGAGGACCAGCCTGACACCTGGTACCCCAGGAGCTGGGAGCTGGAGTCCAGGAGCTCGACCCCTGCCCAGCGTCAGCCCTCACAGGTGCTGCTGCCTACGCCGGTTTAAGTGCGATCCTGGAAGCCCCATTTCCAGCAGAACTGCCGGGGCAATGCCACCCAGAAGCTGGGGCCGCGGCTCCTCCCACCGCGGGCGCTGCGGCCTGGCCGTGGGGCCTGGCGCCCAGGAGGGCCTCCCGCCCGGGCCCAGAAGGAGCCAGAGCCCAGCTCCCGATCCCAACGCCAGAGGCTCAGGCGCTGGCTGGTCTGCAGGGCTCGGCTGTTTCCAATCACCCAAGGAGGGCCAGGCCGGCTGGCCAGTGGCTGAGCGCCGACCCAGGAACCAGGAGGTCACTGGTTCGATTCCGGCCTGGGCACAGGCCCAGGCTGCGGGCTCATCCCCAGTGCGGGGCGTGCAGGAGGCGGCCGGCCGACCTCTCTGGCCCTCTCTCTTCCTCTCTCTAAAGATCAATGAATAAAAATAAAAAAAATCCAAGAACTGAGGCTTGGCCAACGCAGCCGACGAGCCAAGGTCAGGGGACGGTGGGGACGGAGGCGTGGGCAGCAGAGACCCGGCCGGACACGGCTCCCCCGGGGGCACCCAGCCCCGGCCCACCTTGCCCTTGCACAGGAGGCCGCGGAGCTGGGCCCAGAGCGTGGCGCCCGGCGCACACAGGTGCCGGTCCGCGCCTGCCGCCGCCGCTGGGCTCCGGTGGAACCAGCGCAGGACGCCCCGCACGGAGGCGGGAGCGGCCGGCGCCTTCCGCATCCTGGTCCCGCGGGCTGGCCGGTCGCTGGTCGCTGGTCGCTGGCCGGAGGGCGAGCTCGGCAGGAGGCTGGACGGACAGCCCCAGCCTCCACGGCCTTTTGACTGCGGTTCGGAGGGGGGGAGGGGGGAAGCCCCGCCCCCGCCGCCTGGCTCGCCAAGGTCAAAGCTTCCTATGGCCCTCGAGTTTTTATTATTTTATTATTTTTTTGCCTCTGTTTGGAAAAAACAGCCCCGCCGGCAGCCCATTGGTGACGGGAACCGCGCCGCATCACGGCTTTCCCTAACGCCCGGGAGAGCCGGTTTCCTGCGCCGGCCGCTTCCTGTTTGGGAACGCTGAGTAACACGGCAGCCGGCCCGGGCCTCTGCCTGGACACCCCCCGGGCCCGCACCGCCCCGCCCGTTACCCCAGTCACCGCACGCCCTGCCTGATGGACAGAGCCGAGGACACCCCACGCCGGCCCCCCAGAGAGCCGGCCGGGTGATGCGGGGAGTGGGTCCCATCGTCCACCCCAGCACCGAGGTCCAGACCCCCCGCCCCCGGCCCCGGAGGCCGGGCAGGAGCCGGCCGGCAGGGGAGACCCGGCCGCGGGCTGCAGGCTGCAGGGGGCTCCGCCCGGGGCCGTCCCTCGTTGCCGTGGCCTGGCCGGCGGCTGTCGGGGGAGAGGCCGCCCCCGGGCTGGCTCGGTTCCAGGCACAGAGCGTGCTAAGCGGGCGGAAGCAGCCGGAGGAATAACACGGCGACGGGGAGGCTGAGCAGTCCCCCCAAACAACAGCCCAGGCTGGCCGGCTCCCCATGACGGACGGACGGAAGGCAGCGGCGAAGTAAACAAGGGGGGGGGGGGGACCGGGCGGCCGAGCAGCCAGCACAGGAAGTGGAGGTCTGGGGGAAACGAGGGGGGGAGCCCACACCACCGCGGGGTCCCCGGCAGCAGGCGGCTCGGGGATGGGGCCTGGGCGGTGTTCTCAGGAGAACGACCTCGTGGTCTACCCTTTGGGGCTCCGTGGCTGAGCGTCGACCTCTGAGCCAGGAGGTCAGGGTTCGATCCCCAGGCAGGGCACAGGCCCGGGGTGCGGGCTGGATCCCCACTGTAGGGCCTGCAGGAGGCAGCCGGTCCACGATTCTCTCTCATCATGGATGTTTCTATTGCCCTCTCCCTCTCCGAAATTCACAAAAATGAATTTAAAAAACCCTACAACACATGTGTCAAACACAAGGCCCACGGGCCAAATCCGTCCCGCCAGGCCTTGCAATGTGGCCCGCACCGCGCTGTCATCACTGCACTCCGCTGCGTTTCCATCACAATGACAGTTTATGACTGTTCCGTAAACCATTCGGCCCGCGATTTAGGCTGGATTTTAGATTTTGGCCCCTTCTCTGATTGAGTTCGACACCACTACCCCACAACTACCCTGCGTACCCATTCCAGGAGGCTGGGGGCGGGCCCGTCGTCCAGGCAGGGCAGACACTGATGCCGCCCGGAGCAGCCTGGCCGAGGACCAGGGCTGCCCGGCTGGCTCGGCAGGTGGCAAGGCCAGCTGGGGCCCCTGTGGACGGGCACAGGGCACCCCCTCCCCCGGCCCCCGCTGAGGTGGGGGCCGCACGGAGCTGTGCTCAGGGGGAAGTAAGTGCCAGGCCCGCCTCACCCGCCTCCTTGGAGACGGGTCTCCCTGTGCCATCAGCGCCCAGAAGGAACCCAGTGTTTCCCCTGCTCCTGACTGAGCCCACATGTGTGCACATCACCTAGTTCCTGGGCGGTTTTCTTTCTTAAAGAAATAAAGATTGTGTGTGTGTGTGCGTGTGTGTGTGTGTGTGTGTGTGTGCGCGCGCGCACATCTATTTAATTTACTTCAGAGAGGAAGGGAGAGGGAGAGAAACATCGATGATGAGAGAGAACCATGGGTTGGCTGCCTCCTGCACGGCCCTCACTGGGGATGGAGCCGCAGAGACCTGCGCCCTGACCAGGCACGTGAACCATGACCTCCTGGTTCACAGCCGATGCCCAGCCCTGAGCCCGCCGACTGGCGTCTAGACCTGTCCTTGCACTGTCAGACAGCCCCTGGGGTGCTCGACTTCCCCTCCTCACAGGAAGTGCTCTCCCCTCAGTTTGAGTCAAAGTGCATATTGGGGGGGGGGGGACAGGGAGCGCCTGGGAGGGGGGGAGAGGCCATGCACTCCCCCCACCAGCTCTCCACCCGCCCGCCCACGTGGCACTAGGGAGGCGGTGGGAGAGACTGGGAAAAGCCTGGTCTCAGGGGGCTGGGTCCCGGGCACGGACGTGCTCCCCAGGCACCCCACACAGCAGTAGGAGGCCTGGCTGGGGTGGCGGGCCTCCACACCTCTCTTCCTCCTTCCCCCTCCTCCTCCTCCTTTTCTTTACCCACCTCCCCCTCCTCCTTCTCTTTCCTCCCCTCCCCTCCTTCCTCTTGGGGATCCCGGTGCATTAAGCCCCGCCGGGGGCCCAGGTCTCGGGAGCCCAGCCAGCGCACTCCGGCCTGAGTCACAAACATCCTCTGCCGCGGGGCGGGCTTCTTTCCTGGCTGACGACGGCTGCAGGGGCCAGACTTCCCAGCAGCCCTCGCTCCGAGCAGAGACCAGGGGTGGGGCCCTGCCGCCTTCTCCACTAACCATGAGCACAGATGAGAATGACAGCGGCTGCAGACACCCAAGGCCCACCCCAAAGTACAGGTGCGGACACGGACACACACACACACACACACACACAGGAGGTGGGCAAGGGCGCCCACAGCCAGGCCCTCCGTGAGCAAACCCTCGCCGGGCGGCCCTGAGCTGGGACAAGGCGGCAGGAACCCTGCCACGGCGGCTCGGCCAGAGGCCACCCGGACAGCTGATGGCCCCTCCCTGACCAAACCCCGCCTTCTCCCCTGGCCCCCGGGGGCCCCTGACCCCTGACCCCTGACCCCGCCCGGGCCAGGAATCCCGTTCGGCCAGAACCCGCCCACCTGATGGATGTTTTCTCTGACTTCCGTCCACTGACCCCCTCCCCCGCCTCCTGGGCTAGCAATCCCCTCTGTTCCTTGTGGGGTTCAGCGAGGAGCCGCACCCCTCTTCCCTGTGGCCAAACCCCCCGGCACGGCTCCCACACTTATCTCCCAGCCCCTGGCCGGGGGGCGGGGCAGGAAGTGCTGTCCGTGGGCAGCAGGACATGGTTTTGGGGTGATGGGAACATTCTACAACTGAGTCCTATATTGGACATTCTACAGCTCAGTCTACTGGTGAGAAATAAAGTCTATTATTATTATTATTATTATTGTTTTCAATCCTCTCCCAAGGATATTTTTCCACTTTAGAGAGAGTGAAAGGGAGGGAGAGGATAGAGAGAGAGGAACACCGATGTGAGAGAGACACTTGGACTGGTTGCCTGCTGCATGCGCCCCGACAGGGACCGGATCGAACCTGAAATCCAGGTGTGTGCCCAGGCCGGCGCCCTAACCACTGGGCCATACCAGCCAGGGCAAGATGGTTAGGCCTTGCCCAGGAGCGCAGGCCTCAAAACCGTTGGCCTTGAGGACTCAAAGCCCAGCAGGAGAACCAAGTGGAACTGGACTTCCTTTGGGGACACACTGGGGCCTGACAGACAGACAGGCAGACGGACAGACGGGGTGGGGTGGGCGGCCTTACCTGGACCTGGCCCTTCCCCATGATGCGGTCGGTGCTCTCGCCGTCCTCCTTCGGGATCTTCGTCTTGTTGTAGCACTTCTCATAGCACAGGATCCTCAGCGTCTGCGAGCCCTCCAGCTCGATCTCGAACTCCTGCGGCCGAGAAGGGAGGGCGGTCCCGTGTGAGCAGCCGGCCGGGGCCGGGCCGGGGGTGGGGACGGCGGTCACTGCCACGGGCAGGCCGGGGGGCCTCCGAGGGCGGCGTCTCACCACACCGCCGATTAAGGTAATGACAATGTACCCACCTATATAGCTCTCAAATGAAATGTTAATCGTCGTCCTGGTGACATTTGGCTCTGTGGGCGAATGAGTTTGCTGACCACTGGGCCTAGGGGCCCAAGAGTCCCTCGGCCTGGCCTGCGGGCATCGGGCTGACACTGTCTCTCGGACATCCCGAGGGGTCCCGGATTGCAAGAGGGCGCAGGCCAGGCGGAGGGACCACGCCGGTGCATGACCGAGCAGGGGAGGGGCTGTGGGAGGGCTCCAGGGCCTGGCTGGCCAGTCTTGTCCAGTCCCTATCAGCCGGATCCCAGCAGCAAGCCAACCTACCCCCTGGTGGTCAGTGTGTGTCAGAGCGACTGCTCGAACGGTTGAACTGTTGGACACTTAGCATATTAGGCTTTATTTATATAGGATTTTTAAAAACTGATTTCAGAGAGGAAAGGAGAAAGAGAGAGACAGAAACATCCATGATGAGAGAAAATCATGGGTCAGCTGCCTCCTGCAGCCCCCCCTACTGGGGATGGAGCATACAACCTGGGCATATGCCCTTGACCAGGAATCGAACCTGGGACCCTTCAGTCCACAGGCTGACGCTCTATCCACTGAGCCACACCAGTGAAGGCTGGTGTAGGTTCTTGGTGGAAGACGGAGATGATGGAGGGGAGGCGGGGAGAAGCAAGCAGGTGCCTCTGAGCCGGAATGGGGCTGGGGGGGGGGGGGGCTGTGTGTGCCAGGAACAGGGAAGACCCCTAGAGAAGCTGAAGGGACAGCCTGGGCATCTGGTGGTGCCAGCTCCGGGCAGCCCAGCGGCCTCCACCCTGTCCTCAAGCACGAGGCCCGAGGGCCACGGCCGCTCCTGAGCCCTGGACATGCCCTTCTCCACCATCCGGGGGCGTCACCGGGACCGGCCCCTCTGCCAGCCAAGGCCCCCGGCGGCAGGCCGGCTGGGCAAGGGGGCTGCTCCCCATCGCCCCAAGGCGGAGAAGACCGAGGAGGGACCCCCCCAGCCAGGGCCTGGGACGAGCGCAGAGGCCCTCCCGGCGCCCCAGCCCCCACGCCCGGCCCCCGCACAGCCCCGAGCTCCCGGAAACCAATGGTCACAGGAGGCTCGTTCCAGCTTCGCAGGAAAAATGCCATGGAAACGGACCAAGTCAACAGCCGCCAGTAACAAAGGCAGCACAAGAGGCCTTTTAAGTCCTTTTTCCAAACACTCCTCCTCCGGCCGCATCGGTCACTCTTTGTCATGGGGGGCGCGGGGGGGGGGGGGCAGCTGTCTCAGGAAGATGCAAGTCACCCCTCCCCCGGAGATTCCCGGACGCTGGGGCCGGGCCTTGGGGAGCCTCTGGGGGTTCGGACGCGCTCCAAGGACTGAGGGCTGTGGGGAGGGCGCCTCACCTCGTTCCAGTTGGGCTCGGCCGTGTCCCTGTAGACCCGGGTCTTGGCTTTGTTCACGAAGTACCCGAAGGAGTCCACCTCCAGGGTGCAGTACAGGTCTGCGGGGGCACGGAGGGCGGAAAATAAGTATTTCCTTTTTTTATTAATTTTAAAAAATATATATTTTATTGATTTTTTTTTTTTTTTACAGAGAGGAAGAGAGAGGGATAGAGAGTTAGAAACATCAATGAGAGAGAATCATCCCCATCAGCTGCCTCTTGCACACCCCCTACTGGGGATGTGCCCGCAACCAAGAAACATGCTCTTGACCGGAATCGAACCCGGGACCTTTCAGTCCGCAGGCCGACGCTCTATCCACTGAGCCACACCGGTTTCGGCGTTATTTCCTTTTTTCAATTGATTTCAGGGAGAAAGGGGAAGGGGGAGAGAAATAGAAACATCTGTGGTGAGAGAGAGTCGCTGATGGGCTGCCTCCTGCACGCCCCCTCCTGGGGACAGAGCCCACAGCCCGGGCAGGTGCCCCGAGCGGGGAATTGAACTGTGCCCTCCCTGGTTCATAGTTCAACACTCAACCTCGAAGCCCCATTGGCCGGGCAGCCCCCATTCAAAAGAGCAGGCGCTCCTTTTGAAATCGGGAAAAATGGTCTTGATTTTCTTCCTTCCTTTCTATCTTCTTTTTTTTTGTTGTTGTTAATCCTCACCCTAGGATATTTTCCCCATTGACTTTCTGAGAGAGTGGAAGGGAGAGTGAGAGACAGAAACATCGATGCGAGAGACACACACAGGGATGGGCTGCCTCCTGCACGCACCCTGACGAGGGTCAGGGAACTGGCGACCCAGGTACATGCCCTCGACCGGAATCGAACCCGGGACCCTTCCCTCTGCGGGCAGACGCTCTATCCACTGAGCCGCACCAGCCAGGGCTCCACTGCATTGTTGGGGGGAGGGCCCCGGGGGCCGGAAGAAGGGAGTCTGTGCAGGGAGGGAGGGAGGCAGGACGGACGGGCCCTGGGACACACAGCACTGAGGCGGGGGACAGCAGGGGAGGCACCGGTTTAACCTGCTGGCTGCACAGCCACCGCTGGTGAGGGCACGGCGGGAGGTCTTCAGCGCATCCCAACCCTGTGCCCACCGCACGTGGGTCTGTGCTGCGCCAGGGGAGACACACACACACACACACACACACACACACGTGACTGACCACACTGCTCTAACCACTCTGGGAGCTGGGAGAGACCAAAGCCACTCTGCCTGACCCAGTGCCCCTGACACTGCCTGCCAAGCTCGGAATCTCCCTCCCTGGTCTGTCCCCCTCCCTGGTCTGTCTGTCCGCAGCCAGCTCCAGCCCCTGCAGTGACGAGTCCCGCCAGCAGGGGGCAGCGCACCAGCTCCCGGGACCGGAGACAAGCATGGGAAAGGGCAAGGTCCGCCCAGGGAACACAACTCCACACCCAGGGCCCCGCTGGCCAGGGGTCAGGGGTCAGGGGTCGCAGACGCCTGATGGTAATTGGAGCCACTTCCCTGGTTCCCACACCCTCTGGCTCCGCGCCCGCCCGGCCGCCTTCCTCCCCAGACCCGGACGGGCCACTCACTTGAGCTCTGCTTGAAGCCGGTGGCCGAGTGGACGATGACGTTCAGGAAGCCGTAGAGGCCGGGAGACTCGTCATCTGTGCGGAGAGCGCGGGCGGGGCGTCAGCCCTGAGGGCAGGCAGCGGGGGGCAGGCTCGGAGTCCCCTCCCCACCGCCCTCGGGGGCACCCTGTGGTCCCCCTGCGCCCAGCAGGGGCCAGGTGATGCCACGGACCGGCACATCCACGTGGCCTGTCTTGGGGACCTCAGGATCTAGTGTCTTGGTGTGTGTTTGCTTTTCTTTGTTTTTTTTTGTTTTTAAATATATTTTATTGAGTTTTTTACAGAGAGGAAGGGAGAGAGAAAGAGAGAGAGAGCTAGAAACGTCGATGAGAGAGAAACGTCGACCAGCTGCCTCCTGCACACACCCCACCGGGGATGTGACCGCAACCAATGTACAGGCCCTTGACCGGAATCGAACCCGGGACCTTTCAGTCGGCAGACCGAGGCTCTACGGCTGAGCCAAACCAGTTTCGGCTGTTTACTTGTTTTTAAATATATGTTTATGGATTTCAGACAGGAAGGGAGAGGGAGAGATCGAGTCATCAACGATGAGAGAGAACCACTGATTGACTGGCTGCCTCCTGCGCGCCCCCTACTGGTGATCGAGCCGGCAACCCGGGCCTGTGCCCTGGCCAGGACGGAACTGAACCCTGACCTCTTGGTCCGTCCACGACTGAGCCACACCAGGCGGCAGGCTCTGGCTGTTTTCACAGCACAGGCAGGTCCGCGACAGAGAGGAAATGTCGCGGGAACAGGAGAGGGGTCACGGTAGCGTGTGACATGGATGGGGGGGGGCATGTGTGCACATGTGCACAGCACATACCTTTGTGTGCGCCCCAGTGTACACCAGTGTGTGCACCAGGGAACCAAAGGTGCAGGCTGGGGGGTGCTGGGGGGGGCAGCGGGGCAGGGGATGGGGAGGCTGAGGAGGGTCTCGGGGTGGGGGCGGGGAGATGGGTCACCATGGGGCCAGACAGCTGCCGACCTGTCCGCCCACTCCAGGGCGAGGCCAGCGGGGATGGACGCCACGGTCCCCAGGAAGACGGAGAGCAGAGGGGACGGGCCCGGGGTGGCGGGTGGGATGGGGGGGACCCACCTTCCTTGTTGATGGTCAGGGGGATGCAGTGGACCGTCTGGAGTTTGACGCACGAGTTGGTCAGCATCTGCAGCTCCACGGACGTCAGGGAGAAGCTTTTGAAACCTGAGGGGGCGCGGGGAGGGGCGTCTGCACAGGCACTGGGACCGTTCGGGACACCCGGGGATGCTTTCTGATGCCGCCCAGCCCCGCCCCCAACGGAACCCTCGGCGCTCCCTGGTGAGAGGGCACAAGAGGGCGTGCCCTGCTCCCAGCGGAGGGACTGGGGGGCGACAGAGCGGGCCGTGGCCCCGGGCCCAGGCTGGGCGCAGAGGGAGGAGAAATCCCAGCGTGACCCTTACCAACGCGGGGCCAGCCCACTCCGCGCACAGCCACCGTTCGTTCTTCCCTCTCTTTTTAAAAAAATATACTTTTACCGACTTCCGCGAGGAAGGGAGAGGGAGCCAGGGACAGAAACATCAGCCACGAGAGAGGATCATGGATCGGCTGCCTCTAAGCCCGCCCCCCACTGGGGACTGAGCCCCCAATCCGATGTGCCCTGACCGGGAACTGAACCCGGGACCCCTCCATCGACAGGCTGACGCTCTATCCACTGAGCCACGCCGGCTGGCCACCTGACACCTGACTCGGAGCCCGGTCCTCAGGGGAGCAGGAAGGTCTGAAGCCACAGTGGAACCGCCCGCCCTGGTCCCCCGGACGCACAGGGGCTCCGGCCGCTCCGCGCGGCCACTCACACTTCTTCTGCTGCTCCCGGATGTGCTCCCGCCACTCGGCCCGCTCGTAGTCGGACGAGATCAGGAACGTGTAGCTCTGGGGGCGGGAGGACAGGCCCGTTACCTCCCGCCGTCCCTGTCCACACGGACACAGCCCCCGAGGCACACGCCCTCCTCCGTGCCTCTGGCCGGCCATGGCTCGGGGGGTGTTACCAACAGATGGAGCCAGGGACCAGGAGGGCCGGCCTGGGGGAGCGGAGGGGGAGCAGGGGGGTGGGAGAGGGTCTGGGGAGCAGAAGGGGGGCAGAGGGAGCAGAGGGGGAGCAGAGGGAGGTGGGAGAGGGTCTGGGGGAGCAGAAGGGGGGCAGAGGGGGGTGGGAGAGGGCCTGGGGGAGCGGAGGGGGAGCAGAGGGGGTGGGAGAGGACCTGGGGGAGCAGAGGGGGAGCAGAGGGGGGTGGGGGAGGGCCTGGGGGAGCAGAGGGGGTGGGAGAGGGTCTGGGGGAGCGGGGGGGGAGCAGAGGGGGTGGGAGAGGGCCTGGGGGAGCAGGGGGAGCAGAGGGGGGTGGGAAAGGGTCTGGGGGAGCAGAGGGGGTGGGAGAGGGTCTGGGGGAGCAGAGGGGGAGCAGAGGGGGTGGGAGAGGGTCTGGGGGAGCAGGGGGAGCAGAGGGGGTGGGAGAGGGTCTGGGGGAGCAGAGGGGGTGGGAGAGGGTCTGGGGGAGCAGGGGGGCCGGGCGGGGGCACTGACCTTGCCGTTGCGGCTGTGCACCCGGAAGGCCATGCTGGGGGACATGAGCAGGAGCATGGACTCCTGCTCCGACAGCTTCTTCTTCAGCCTCTCGATGGCCCTGCTGCCCTTGTTGGCCCTCTGCGGGGAGAGGTCGCGGTCACATTCCCAGCCCGGGGGCCGAGGCCCCCCGGTCCCTCTCGGCCAGTGCCCGCTCCCCCGATGCCCGGCCCTCAGACGCCGGGAATGCCCCGGGCAGCCCGGCCCAGCACCGCGCCGAGGCCCGCTGCTGCCGGCTCCGGGGTCCAGCGCCGAGGCCGCCCCCTCCGCACCCACCTTCTCCCTCTGGATGTCGCTTTTGATCTGCGAGATCTTGATCTTCATGGCGTCCAGCTCCTCGTCCACCACCAGGGGGATGGCGGGCGCCGCCTCGGACTCGTCCAGCGTCTGGAAGCTGAGGTCGGTGAGCGGGATGTACCACTTGCAGTCGTACTGCTGCGTTTTGCTGGGGACGCAAGGGGGGGAGCTGGTGAGCAGGACCCCGCCTTCCTCCGCCAACAGCACTGCTGTCAGAGCCGAGAGCCCCCAGCCGCACCCCCCGCCCGGGGCCCGGGCCCGGCTGGGAGGAGACCCCCGGCCGACGCCACGGACCCGGACTCGGAGATCGAGGACGTGGGCACGTGTGACGGGGGCCCCGGGGGGTCTGCCGGGCCCCGATTCCCCGGGGAAGGAGCGAAGGTGGCACTCACCCTCCACTCTGCCTCTTGAGCTTGGTGCAGAGGAGCAGGTCGGTGAACAGGAAGACGTGGCGCAGCTTGCGGGCGCCCTCCACCAGCTCCACCATGAAGCTGTCCTTCAGCAGCTGCCTGTGCTGCGGGCGGGGCGGGCGGGCAGGGGCCAGGGTGAGGGCCGCGGCCTCCGCCTCCAGCCTCAGACCCGCGTTCCGGACCGAGCCTCCACCTCATCGGCCACGCACGCTCTCCTCCGCTCACCAGCTTCCCAGCCCCTCCGGGGGGGCCCGGCCCGGGGGAGAGGGCACGTGCATGGGGCAAGGCCAGTGGCCTGAGGCCGGGAGGGCGGGTGACGGACGGTCTGTGTGGAATGATGGCAGGAGACCCCCCCACCGCACTCCGCCCCCGTCCTCTCCAAGACACAGCTGAGACCCAGACTGGCCACGGGGCCAGCCTGTGGAGGACGGGGCACTGCCACACAGACCGCACTGTGAGGAGAGCCTGGCTCCTGGGTGAGGCTCGGGCAGCCCGGCCTGGCTGGCGTGGCTCAGCGTGTTGCTCAGGGGTTGAGCGTTGACCTATGAACCAGGAGGTCAGGGTTCGATTCCCAGTCAGGGCACATGTCAGGGATGCAGGCTCCATCCCCAGTGTAGGGTGTGCAGGGGGCAGTCGATCCATGAGTTTCTCTCATCATGGATGTTCCTCTCTCTCTCTCCCTCTCCCTTCCTCTCTGAAAGCAATAAAAAAAAATACTTTAAAAAATTAAGTTCAAAAGAACTGAGCTCCTAGCCCTGACCGGTGTGGCTCAGTGGATAGAACGTCAGTCTGCAGACGGAAGGGTCCCGGGTGCGATTCCGGTCAAGGGCATACACCTTGGTTGTGGGCACATCGCCAGTGGGGAGTGTGCAGGAGGCAGCTGATGGATGGTTCTCTCTCATCGATGTTTCTAACTCTCTATCCCTCTCCCTTCCTCTCTGTAAAAAAATCAATAAAATATATTTTTTTAAAAAGAAAAGAAAAAGAACTGAGGTCCTGACCACCACCAGCAGAGGGCACCGTACACACAGCTCAGAAGTGGCCTCAGGAGGGTCCCCTGGGCCGGCAGGCAGGCTGGAAACACCTAGCCCGTCCCCTGCACTAACCACTCTCCAACCCGCACTGGCCCACCTTGTCTCCCTCAAGGCCCACCTCAGGCACCTCCATTCTCCACGGGGCCCCCGAGTCGCCCTGCGGCTGGGCAGCCAGCACGCCCGCCCTGCCCCTGTGGCATCCAGGCCTGAGCCCCGCTGTGTGCCGCTGCCCCCGAATCTGCCGAGCAGGTGGAGATGGTGACTATGGGGCACCCCAAAAGCCCAGGCTGACAGAGGCTCCTTTCCTCTCCATGGAACGCTGCCAGAGCAGCTCGAAACAGGAGCCCCCAAACCCGGAGACACGCAGGGGACGCGGGGGGGGGGGGGGGGGTGTGCCCCTCAGTGCCTAAGCCTCGGGCAGGGCACCGAGCCTGGGGGCCTCCCGCAGCCTCGCTGTGGGACCTGCCGTGTCGGGGCAGTCGATCCATGAACCTCTCTCTCATCACTGATGTTCCTCTCTCTCTCCCTCTCCCTCCCTCTCTGAAATCAATAAAAAAATATTTTTAAAAAATCAAGTTCAAAAGAACTGAGCTCCTGGCCACCACCAGCAGAGGGCACCCTACGCCCTCTGGTTGGAGGGGACACCTCCCTCCTCACGGCTCTCCCCAGGGAGGCCCCCCCACCCCCAGAGACAGCTGACGGGGAGACCCTGGGCACGTGGCAGCTTCCCGCTCCGCTCCGCACACAAGGAGGATGGGGAGGCCGGGACCCAGGGCGACGGGACCCCGAGGGGCTGCCCCGCAGCGACCTGCCCCGCAGCCTGACACCAGCTCCCGGCCCACAAACCGCAAGACAGGGGAGGAAGTGGCTTCCGACGGCGGGTGCTCACGGTGGAGGCCAGCCCTCCGCCTGGCACCTCTGCTGCCTCCTTCCCTGCCACCCGCCGGGATGGCACCTGCCTGGCCACGCTGGGCAGCTCCCAGGAAGGGGCCGAGGCCACGGGTCAGGCCCGGTCAGTACGTCCTGAGTGAGCCCTTCTGTGCTTTTGTGTTTGTTTGTTTTTAAACATATTTTACTGATTTTCTTACAGAGAGGAAGGGGGATGGATAAAGAGCCAGAAACATCGATGAGAGAGAATCATCGACCAGCTGCCCCCTGCACACCCCCTCACTGGGGATGTGTCCGCAACCAAGGTCCATGCCCTTGACCGGAATCGAGCCCAGGACCCTTCAGTCTGCAGGCCGACGCTCTATCCACTGACCCACACCGGTTTCGGCCAATAAAATATATTTTTTTAAAAAGAAGAAGAAAAGGAAGAGGTGGCTGAGTGAGGCACGCACCTGCGAAACTCCACTCTGTCGCCCTGCACACAGGACCGGGTTCGACCCCGCCAGGGCCAGGGATCCCCAAAGGCCATGCGCTCCCTGTGTCCCACTGACCCGTCCCGGTCCGTCCGCCGAGGACCAGAGGACCCGCCTCCCTCCGCGGCTCAGCGGGCCGGCCGGCCCTCCCCGCGGCGGCCGCCTTACCTCGCCCTTCTTCACCGTCATGGACTGCCGGCGAGGCGTGATCTCCTCGTTGATGCTGGACAGGAAGTTCTGGGAGATGCGCAGCGCGTCCTGCAGCAGTGGGTGGTCGGGGTGGCTGGGCGGCGTGTGCTTCAGCAGGTCCTGCGCCGGGCGAGAGGGCGCCAGTCAGCGAGGCCCCGGCCCCGCGCTGTGGGCAGACCGCGGACCCACGCCCGGCTGGGCCCGGGGCCCCGGGCTCTGGGGGCATCCCTGCCACCTCGCACAGGGCCGGGCCTCAGGGCAGCGCTGGGCGGGCCCTCGGGAGGCAGGGCCCCACAGAAGCCCCACCATCGGGGGGTTCGCATGCTGCCAAGGGGGCTCCCGCCCTCGGGGTCCAGGGCAGGCTGCCTCCTCCTCGGCACCGGTGACGTTCTGGGCCGAATGATTTTTTAAAAAAATCCTCACTCGATGGATTTTTGGGGAGAGTGGGAGGGAGAGGGAGAGGCGGAGAGAAACATCGATGTGAGAGAGACACATGGATGGCTTGCCTCCTGCAGGAGCCTCCAACCAGGGCCTGGGCCGGGGAGGAGCCTGCAACCAAGGTTCGTGCCCTTGACCGGAATCGAACCCGGAAGGGGGGGGGGGGGGCGCGGGACTCACGTGCAGGACCAGCGTGCTCCGCGTGACCCGGTCCACAGGCTTGTAGAGCAGGGCTGCGGGGAGAGGGGCCGCCGTGGGGGAGCCGCCCGCCCCCCGCTCACCCTGCCTGGCCACCCCGAGCACCCCGAGCACCCCTGGCTCAGCGCTCAGCGGCGAGGGCGGGCCTCGAGGACAGCACGGCGCGTCCCGGGCCCTGGGCGCTCGGTCGGCGCCGTGCACGTGGAGCCGAGCTGCCGGGCAGAAGCCGAGCCCCTGTGGCCGACTCCGTGACCAGCGCTCCACTGCCCGGTGTCCTCCTGGGCTGGGGAGCCCCCCAGCACCCCGTGAGGACGGGCCAGGGGGGGTCCCCACCCCGGGGAGCCAACCAGCTGCATGCCACTCCCCCCCGCACAGCCTGGAGGCCCGATCGTGAGAACGCGGAACCGGCACAGGGGCTGGGCCCTGCGCCCCACAGGGAGCACCGCCCCTGAGGGTCCGATGTGTCCCCGTACCCACACCGGGGGCGCCTCCTCCCGCGCCTCCCACGGCTGGTGTGCAGAGGGCATGGCTGTGCCCATTTCACAGACGGGGAGACTGAGGCTTAGCAGGGGCACCCCTGCTGCTCCCTGTGTGTGTGACTTCCCGCTACCCTAGCAACGGGGAGTGAGAGGCGGCCCAGCAGGCCCACCACCACTTTCCCTGGAGAGAGGAGGCCGAGGGCAGGCCCGGGCGCCCTGGCGGCACTTTCTGGCCAGCCTCCGGGGGCCTGGGGGCTGCGTGGTTACAGCGTCCTCCACGCGTTTGACATCCGAGAGGAGGAAGAGACTGCCCTCCTCCGGGGGCGATCGGGGACCACGTGAGGACGTCAGTTAACGCCCGGCAGTGCCTGCTCTGTGGGTGTCCGTGGACGCCCCCCGTCTTTCCTGTTTGTGACTGCGGGCGGCGAGCTGCCCGACCTCTTCCTTCCCCTCCACTCCCCCCCAGGCCCCGCCGCTCTGTCCTGGTCCCCGACATCGCTATGGGGAGCACCACGCCCGTTTCCCCAGCAAACGCCCCGTCTGCCCACAGTGCGGCCCCCCCAAGGAGGCCTCGGCAGGGAGCACTCACTCTCCAGGGAGTTCTTGGTCGTATGGTCCTTGGCGTCCTTGTTGCTCCTGGCTCTCAGGTTCTGCAAAGAAAAAGGCGCCTTTTCACGGGGGACAAGGCAGGCAGCGGCCGTGGGGCAGGAAGTCCCGGGCAGGGCACCTGCGACGGGAACTCCACCTTCTCTTGCCCCAAGGAGCCCCGAGGCGGCCGGCCCCGGGCATGGGTCCCGGCCACGGTGTAAGACCCAGGGCATGCGCCGGCCGGCGTGGCTCCGTGGTGGAGCGCCGACCTAGGACCCAGGAGGTCCCCGGTTTGATTCCCGGTTGGGGCACAGGCCCAGGTTGCAGGCTCCATCCCCAGTAGGGGGCGTGCAGGAGGCAGCCGATCCATGATTCTCTCATCACGGATGGGCTATGCGGTGGTACCAGCGTTATGGGGGGCTGGCTGTTGGCCGGCCCCAGGAGCCACCGTACACTGCCTGCCCCGGCCTTGGCTTAGATTCCCAGCCACTTGTGTGTGGTTGGTGGGACCCCCCAAGCCCCCGGGAGAGGGGTGTCCCACCCGTTTCTTCCCTCCTCTGTAGAAACCTGCGCAGACGGACTTAAACCTCGGCCCAATGACCGCAGCCGCCCTCAGAGAGTTAGGTCTGTAATTTGTCAAGGTCACTCCGGATTCCGGGCCAACATCCCGGCGGTTAGGGGTGTGTGTGGGGGGCGGGGGCTTGTCAGAGAGTGAGCTCAGGGAAAGAACAGACTGAACGTGCCAGGCGGCCCAGGGCGGTGGGGAGGGCAGTCTGGAGCCAGCCCGGAGCCCTGCGGGGTGTCGCCCGTGACCAGCTGTGCCAGCGGGCAGCGGGCACCCCCCGGGGCCCGGAGGAGCACGTGGCACGTGTTATCACCGCAGAGGCGGTGAGTGTCAGGGCCCCGGCCTCCCGCGATGGGTTAGAACGGGGCACGGAGCCCAGGGCCGCGGCCAGGCGCCGCGGTCGGGGGGATGGTCTCCAGCAGGCGGCTGCCGCCCTCCCTGTTTCTGGTTCCCGCGTCTCTGGGCGGCCGCCCGCCTCACCCGCAGCTCTTTGCTCCTCGGGTCCTCCCGGGGTCAGGGAAGGCGAGTCAGAGCTCCGAGGAGCGGGACGCCTCAAACAGCAAAAGTGAGGCCCCGGCCTGCGTGGCTCCACGGTCACGGCTCCATTCCGGTCAGGGGCACAGGCTCCACCCCCAGCGAGGGGTGGGCAGGAGGCAGCCGGTCCCTGGGTGCTCTCTCATCACGGATGCTTCTCTCTCTCTCTCTCCTCCTTCCTCTCGGGAATCAATAAAAATAAATGTGTTTTTAAAAAGGGCAGCAGTGCGGACCTCCCTCACGGCACACAGACAGCGGTGGAGCATCGTTGCAGGGACCTCACTGAGCCCCAGCTTTGGGCCCTGGCCCCCGGGGAGTGGGGGGGGCGCGGGGAGGAACCTCGCTGCTCCTTGTCTGCTCACAACGGGCAGGCGGACGGCGCCCACCCAGAGGCACCCGGACACGGCTGAGGGGAACAACCAGCCTCGGTTTGGCGCGCCTCGTCCTCCTGCGCCATGGGGACGGACGGACCAATGCCCGGTGAGGCACCCTGTCCGAAGAGCACCTGCCTACCTCGGAGATTTCTGCAAACTGAGCGTTGGCCTGGCAGCACTTCTCGGCCATTTCCATGGCGACGCCGTAGTTGTCCACGAAGGCCCGGTACACGCCCAGCTGGCTGGCCTGCGGGGAGGGAGGCAGAGAGCATGGCGCGGGCGTGAGCCAGGCCCGCGGCGCCCCATCTCGCCGAGAGAGAGCCGAGCCGCAGCCCCGGCGGAGCCCCAGGTGCCAGGCGGTGCAGAGCTGCGGGCACCCAGCTCCCCCTGCCAGGGCCTCCCCCCTGCCTCCCGCCCCGCGCGCCGAGCCCGCGGCCTCTCCCACAGCGGCAGCGGCACCAGGAGTGACTCACGCCAGGGCCCCCCCCCCCTCCCGCCCCGGCCCCGGCAGGTGGCGGCTCCCTGCCCCCCGCTGCCGAGTCCTCCCACCGACGCCTGCAAACGGTGCTGCTGACAAGAACGAAAGTTCAAGGCTGTCAGGGGAGGCAGACAGCGGTCTCCACGCAGGTGGGCTGCAGTCGCCCCTTCCGTGCAGGAGGCCAACGAATGCAACAAGTCGGTGTCCCCCTCTGTCTCCCTCTCCAATCAATAAGTAAACATTTTAATCCCCAGCTGGTTAGCACAGTGGGCAGAGCCTCGGCCTGAGGACAGAAGGGTCCCGGGTTTGATTCCGGTCAAGGGCACCTGCCCAGGTTGCAGGCTCCATCCCCAGGAGGGGGCGGACAGGAGGCAGCCGGTCCACGATTCTCTCGCATCCTTGGCGTTTCTCTCTCTCTCTCTCTCCCCGTCTCCCTTCCTCTCTGAGATCCATAAAAAACGTATTTTAAAATGTCTTAAAAATATTTCAAAAAAAAGTCTGCAAGGGACTCAAGAGCCTTTTTTAAAAATATATATATATATCTTTTAATTGATCTCAGAAAGGAGAGGGAGAGAGAGACAGAAACACCAACGATGAGAGGGTCACGGATCGGCTGCCTCCTGCACGCCCCCTCCTGGGAACCGAGCCTGGAACCCGGGCTTGCTCACAGGTCAACGCTCAACCACGGAGCCCACCTGGGCCGGGCAACCCACCCCGGGACTCTGACTCGACACTGTCGCCCCGGTGTCCCCGAGCCCCCGGCGGCGCCCGCCCGCGGGTCCCCCGAGAGGCCGCCCCGCGCCCGCCCGCGGCTCACCAGCTTCTGGAAGAGGTCGCCCACGCGCTGCTGGTGGCTCCACTGCTGCACGCGGGGGCACAGCCCGTCATAGAACTCCTTGTGGATCTCGTAGAGCTCGGGCACCTTGAAGAAGATGGTCTCGATCTGCTGGCTCGTCAGCACCGGCTGCGAGGTGGTGGCCGCCGCCTTCAGCGGCTTCATGGGCTGCAGGGGCACAGGGAGGCCGCGCGGCCACGGGGGGGCGGCGTCAGGGCGCGGGACGGCCACGGGTGGCCGTGGTCACGTGACACGGGTGCTTTTCATCCATTCACTCGTTATTTTTTTATTCCTCGCCCGAGGATATGTTTCCAGCGGTTTTTTAGCAAGAGTGGGAGAGGCGGAGAGAAACATCGATGTGAGAGAGAGAGAGAGACACGTCGACGGGTTGCCTCCTGCACACGCCCTGACCAGGGCCCGGACCAGGGAGGAGCCTGCAACCGAGGTACGTGCCCTGGACCGGAATCGAACCCGGGACCTCTTGGTCGACAGGCCGACGCTCTGTCCAATGAGCCACACCGGCTAGTGCTTTTATTTTTAAATCCCATGACGTAGCCCGGCCGGCATGACTCAGTGGTTGAGCATCGACCTATGAACCAGGAGGTCACGGTTCCACTCCCGGTCAGGGCACGTGCCCGGGGCTGTGAGCTCTGGCCCCCAGTGGGGGGCATCGTGCAGGAGGCAGCCGATCCCGGATTCTCTCTCCTCATAGATGTTTCTCTCTCTCTCTCTCTCCCTCTCCCTTCCTCTCTGAGAGCAATAAAAATATATTTAAATTCCATGAAATATGAACACATGAATCCAGCTTGGGCTGGCACCTGTCTTACGCTGCCATCCACCACCCCTGAGAAGCTCTGACCCTCCCACAGGTGACGCAATGACGCCCAGGAGGGTGGGTGCCCCCGGCTCCCGCCAGCTGACCTCTGGCCCGGGCCATGTGAGCCAGCAGCTTCCCCATGCCCCTGCCCCACCCCCGGCCTCCTGGCCCCCTCACCAGCAGCAGCGCCTCCAGGTGGCTGAGGTACGTCTCCTCACTCGCCAGGATGCCCGACAGGACCCACTTTCGCATCTCCAAGCCCTTCTCCAGGTCCAGCTCGCTCTGCGGGAGACGCAGACGGAGGTCAGACCCGCGAGGCGATGGCCGAGGGGGCTGGTCTCCGCGGGGACGTGTGTCCGTCCGTCCGTCCATCCGTCCGGGGGCTCCGGCGGCATCGGAGGGCGTCCCAGGAACCCCGGCACGGAGGCCACTCACGCGTGGTCACCGCGAAGCCTAGAGGAGCTGCCGCTGGCCTTGACATTGGGGAGTTTGTGGCCGAGCCAGCCGGGCAAGGCCTGCCCCCTCCTCACCTTCCTCCTGCGACCGAGGGGCGTCGGTCCCGGCAGAGGCGGAGCCGAGGGGCACCGGGACCCGCCGCCCGGCCGCCCCGCTCCCTCCGCCGCTGTCACTCCCGCCCGCCCGCGATCTGCCACTCGCACTGACCCTTGGACCGGAGGGCCGGGCAGCCCTGGGCTGCCTCCTGCCACGCTCCCTCCCTCGGGGCCTGGGGCGGAGCTGGGTGCTCCAGGGCTCAGGACCTTTGCCTCCGGAGCCTGCTGTTCGGACTCTGAGGGCAGAGACCCCCTTAGGGTGAGCCACAGGACCCCTGCCCCCCATCAACACGGCTCTGTGCCTCGGCCTCCCAAAGCCAGGCTCACGGCACTGGGTGCTGGCGCCGGGGCAGACGGAGCCCGCGCGGCCGGACGGCCGGACCCCCGTCCCGGCTGCGGGGCGCCCACCGGTGCCTCAGAGCGGAGGGCGGCCCCACTGGGAATCGGGGTCTTTACGGATCACGGGACAGCCCTGACCGGTGTGGCTCTGTGGACGGCGCGCCGGCCTGCGGACTGAAAGGTCCCAGGTTCGGTGCCGGCCAAGGGCATGGACCTGGGTTGCGGGCACATCCCCACTGGGGGGTGTGCAGGAGGCAGCTGGTCGATGATTCTCTCTCATCGATGTTTCTAACTCTATCCCTCTCCCTTCCCCTCTGTACAAAATCAATAAAATTTATTTTAAATAAATAAATAAAGGCGATGAGTGACGGCCTGGCCACCAGCCCAGCTGGCCCCCTGACTGGGGGACGGGGTGCGGCAAAGCCCGGTGCTGGAGGCTGGCCACACCCCAAGCGGGGAGGGGCCCCATGTTCACAGAAGGCGACTAATGGCCTGCCTGTTCCACCACCAGGCGGACTGCCAGCCAGCTTTGTGGCATCCTATGACGTTTCCGTGAGCTAAGTGCATGCATGCGTGTGCATGCATGTGTGCATGCTTGCGCGCACATGTGCATGCATGTGTGGACGGGCATGGGTGTGAATGTGCATGCCGGTGTGTGCCGATGCACTGGGCAGCAACCAGCCGGTAAGATCTTGGCCGAGAGCCACCCCGGGAAATGACACGCAGTCTCACGCCCAGCCACCTCCCTGAGCACACGGGCGGCGGCTCGGCAGGCCCCTCGGGACACGCTGTGCCCAGGCCGACACACCCTGCGCCCTCAGAGTCTGAGCAGTCAGTGCTCGGGGGAGTCCTGAGCCGGCACGCCGTCAGCACAGAGGAGGGCCTGAGGGCAGGAGTCAGGGGGCAGGGGGTGGGGGGGGTGTTGGAGGGGCCACATCCCAAGGGCCTGGGGCACCGGGAGCGTGTCCTCCAGGGACCTGGAGGTGGAGGGCGGTCCTGGCAGGGAGAGAGCCCTGAGGGGAGGCGGCGGGGCAGGCTGGAGCCTTCCCCGCTCAGGGCCCCACCTCCTCGCTCAGGCCCCTGCGGGCCGCTGCCCGTTCCAAACCCGAGTGCCAAGCAGGAAGAACGGGAGGGCCCGAGAGAGGAAGCCGAGGGAAATGCCAGCGAGGGGGCCAGGAGGGCTCCAGATCTGCCCGCTGTGTGGCCTGGGCCCGCGGCTCGGCCTCTCTGAGCCGTGGTCCGTGCACAGTGGTGAGGCCGGAGGCCGGGCGAGGGGCTGCACAGGCCGCTGTGTGCCACACCCGGCCCCCTCCCAGCCTCAGGGCTCAGCACGGGCCCGGGGCCGAGGTCTTCAGAAACCACAAAAGCTTAAGAGGCGCAGGCCCATGCCGAAACCTGTGTGGCTCAATGAAAGGTCCCAGGTTCGATTCCGGTCAAGGGCAGCTAGCTGATCGATGATTCTCTCTCATCCACGTTTCTAACTCTCTATCCTCCTCCCTTTCTCTCTATAAAAAAAACCAATAAAATATCTTTTTAAAAAAACAAGAAAAAACATATATTTTAAACGATGACCGTGGACCGATGGGTGGGGTCGTCGGCACCCCCTCCAGTAAGAGGGAGCAAATGCGTTTGTGGGCGTCTCTCCTGCTCGGCGCGGACGCGGGGCCGCCCGCCTCTGCCACGCTGGGAGACAGCTCCCTGCGCCCGCAGCCAGGCCCTGTGCCCGGATGGAGGAGGAGAAGGGAGCTTCAGCGACTCAGCAGCCACCGTGGCTGCTCCATCACCGCCGGCCCCTGAGCCGAGGGGCTGGGCCTCCAGGAGCCTCTGGGACTCGGATGGCCGCCCGCCCGCCGCCCGCCGCCCGGACTCACCGCCTTGGCCGGCTCCAGGGCGCCCGAGGCCAGCGCGTCCCGGCCGGCCCGGCCCTTGCCGCCCAGGTGGGGAGAGGAGGAGGGCGAGTCATCGATGTAGGGCAGCCCGTCCTGGTGCCGCCGCTGCTCCTCGGCCTGGTCCGCTGCGCAGCCGTACCCGGGCGGCGTCCCGAAGGATGAGTCTGTGGGCAGAGAGGGGCCGGCGTCAGGGACGGGGAGCGGGGCCGAGGGCACCGCCGGCCGCTGCGGGCACCACGCAGGGAGCTCAGGCGCACCGGCCCCGGGGTGAGGGGGGCCAGCCCCGCAGCTGCTCCCAGGCCATGCGAGACGGGGCGTCCGGACACCTGCGTCTTATGGGGAGGGGGGGGACCCTGAGCCCTCTCAGAACGGCAGAGCCCGAATGCTGGGGTTTGGCTGTCAGGAACAGTCCCTGGGACACCTGTCGGTTGGGGGGTAGGGGTGAGGCGGGGGGGTGACAGGGTGAAGAGCACAGGCCATCCCACGCCACGCCCCCGCCCCCATCTGCTCACCTCCCTAACGGGCTGGCAGAACCCCCATCGGAGTGCCAACGCGGACCGAGAACGGCTCCCCCCACACCACCCAATCCCCACTCCCTCCCCGCTCCCGGGGGCTGCCCAGTGCCAGCGGCCATCCCTCCCTCCCCTCTCCCCAGGCCCAGTCCCAGGGCCACAGCCAGGGTGGGGGTAAGGGTGGGGGTGTTCCTGCAGCTCCGTCCCCAGGACCTCACCCCACAGGCCCAGCCCACCGCGAGCCGCATGGGAGGGCCGCTTCCGGGCGCCACAGGGTCTTGTTCCCCGGTGACATCACTTCCCTCTGACTCACCTGCACCAGCCCCGCCCCGCCCCGGGGTCAGTGCACAGGCGCCTGGCGGTGCACGGCTTACAGCGTCCGCCCCCCTCCCCTCCCCGCCCTGCCGCTCCGGCCCCGGTGCCCGTGGTGCCCGCGCCACCCAGGCCAGGCGGGCAGAGGGCCAGCCACGGGCTTGGGAGCCGACCCAGCAATCCCAGGGAGGGGTGGGGGGCGGGCGGGGGACATGCATTTTCCGTTCTGTCCACCTGCACAGCGGGAGGAGTTATGGCCGGCGGGACCTGGTGGTCAGCGCTGGGAGACGCCTCTGCCAAGCCTCGGGGCCCATGGGTGGCCAGTCTCAGCCGCCTCCCACGCCCCTGCCACGCCCAGGTTCTCACACTGCCCGCCACCGGCCGGCGCCACCTGGGGAGCTTCAAAAACAACACAGCCGGGCCCTGGCTGGTGTGGCTCAGTGGATAGAGCGTTGGCCTGCGGACAGAAGGGTCCCGGGTTCGATTCCGGTCAAGGGCACAGGCCCGAGTGGCGGGCTGGATCCCCACTGGGGGGTGGGGGGGCTACGAATAGAGGTCAAAGGGGAGAGGCATGGTCTGGGGCATCTGAGCTCCTCCAGACCCGCAGGGGTTTCCCCCGAACCAAAGTCCTGGACAGCGCCCGGCTCAGGCTGGCAGGGGGGCGACCATTGATTGGTTTCCTCCCACACGTGGGCCAACCAGGGCCAGGGATTGAACCTGCCACGAGGTACATGCCCTGGCTCAGAATCGAACCCGGTACCCTTCCTCTACCCACTGAGCAACACTGGTCAGGCTGTCAGTGACTTTTAGCACTAAGACCGAAGGGCCCCAGCATGGGCAGACAAGGACCCCAACCAGCATCCAGATGCTGTTAAGGGACCTTCTAGGGTCTCCGAGGACCCTCCTGTGCTAAGACCCCAGGTCCTGCAGAGGGAGAGGGTATTTATGCTCTGGGTCGGGCTGGGTCTGGAACACCCTGGTGCCACGGCCGGGCGGGCCGAGGGGAAACCGCGGCCGGAAAGAGCTGCAGCTTCCGCCGCGGGATGACGTCATCATCATCATTTTTATTTTTATTGCCTCCTGGTCAAGGGCATGGGCACCTGATGGATGTTTCTCTCTCACTGATGTTTCCAACTCTCTCTCCCTCTCCCTTCCTCTCTGAAATCTATGAAACGTATAAAAATAAAACGCACAGCCAAAACCGGAGTGGCTCAGTGGATAGAGTGTTGGCCTGCGTACTAAAGGGTCCCGGGTTCGATTCCCGTCAAGGGCATGGACCTTGGTTGCCGGCACCTCCCCGGTGGGGGGTGTGCAAGAGGCAGCTGGTTGATGTTTCTCTCTCATCGATGTTTCTGACTCTCTATCGCTCTCCCTTCCTCTCTGTAAAAAAACCATAAAATGTATTTTTTTTAAAAAGAAGAAAAAGAATTGGCAGGAGCAGGCCTCACCCCCCCCACCCCCCCAGGGCCTCAGAGTCTGCCGGCCGCAGGGTTTCCGCGGAGCGAGCACAGGGCCAGGGCACCGCCGAGGAACTGCCGGAAAGCAAGCCGCCAGGAGCCGGGCGCTGATGGGTGGACACGGAGGACCAGCCTCTGCTCTTGACCTGAAACTTGACACTGTCGTGTGGGAATTACCACCGGCGGCGATAATCCCGCTGTCATCGCGGTGTGACTGCCTGGGCTGGGCCGGGCTCACCCCCAGCTGGCCGGGCGCCCCCTCCTCCCCGCCTGGCACAGCTGTCACACGCCCACCCGGCACCATCGCTGCCACCTGCCCAGGCAGGAGAGCAGGTCCCGACAAAGGTGCTGCGCGCGCGCGCGCGCGTGCGTGTGTGTGTGTGTACACAATATATATATATATTTCTTTTTTAAATGTTTTTAAAAATATATATTTTATTGATATCTTACAGAGAGGAAGGGAGAGGGATAGAGAGCTAGAAAAGTCGATGGAAGAGAAACATCGACCAGCTGCCTCTTGCATACTCCCTACTGGGGATGTGCCCGCAACCAAGGTACATGCCCTTGACCGGAATCGAACCTGGGACCTTTCAGTCCGCAGGCCGACGCACTATCCACTGAGCCAAACCGGTTTCGGCTAAAAATATGTTTTACTGACTTTTTTTACGGAGAGGAAGGGAGAGGGATGAGAGAAACATCGACCAGCTGCCTCCTGCACACCTCCTACTGAGGATGTGCCCGCAACCAAGGTCCATGCCCTTGACCCGAATCGAACCTGGGACCTTTCAGTCCACAGGCCGACGCTCTATCCACTGAGCCACACCGGCCAGGGCTTTTTAAATATATTTTTATTGATTTCAGAGAGGAAGGGAGAGGGGAGGGAAAGAGAAACATTCATGATGAGAATCTGGGCTGAGCAAGCGGCCTTTGGACAGACGGGTGAGCCGGGGAGCAGGCAGGCCGGGCTGAGGAAGAGGATGAGAGACCCCAAGGCTCCCTCTTCTGGGACTGCCCCCCCCCCGCCCCTCTCGCCTGGGAAGGGACTCTGTCCGAGAAGGGGCATGCCTGCGGGCGTGCGGGCGTGGGCGAGGGCGGGACATGACGCCCAGGCCACGCGGGCCCGAGCGGCAGAGGGTGCAGGGCCGGGCACCGGGGCAGGACGGCTGTGCATTCCTGCCGGATTCCACGCCTGCTCTGCGCGGCAGCGGTGGGCGGGGGGCCGAGAGGGGGGCAGCGTGGCCTCCCCACGAGGCAGCCCGAGTCCCCGGGGCCTCTCGGCACCTCAGGTCCACCCAGCACCTGCCGCCGCTCCGTGTGCAGACACCCAGGAGGGAATCATCGCAACCCCCACCCCTCCCTCCGCCCTGGCCCGTGTGGCTCAGTGCATAGAGCGCCGGCCTGCAGATGGAAGGGCCCAGGGTTTGATTCCAGGTTGCAGGCTTGATCCCCAGTGGAGGGCGTGAGGGAGGCAGCCGATCAATGGTTCTCTCTCCCATGGATGTTTCTCTCTCTCTCCCTTCCTCTCTGACATCAATAAAAAATACATTAAAAAACAAAAACAAAACAAAAAAACACACCAAAAAACCCTCCTCCTCCATTCCGAGCACCGAGGGGCCCTACCGCTCACCCCAGCACAGCCCCATCGGTGCCCAGACCCACTCCCTCCCGAGATGTGGGAATGCGGACGCCGCCTGCTCCACGGCCGGTTCCGGGCTCCGGGCTCCCCGGGGAGCCCCCCAGGAGCAGCAGGGACCCCAGACCCCGGCGGCGGGCACATTCCCGGAGCACCGCTATGCGTCCTAACAACTGCAGGGCGGGGCGGCACTCGGGGAATGACAGCTGGAGGCCGGGCTGGACGGGGCTGCTGGAGGCCGGGCTGAGACGGGGCTGCTGGGAGGCAGGCCTGGCAGCGGGAGGTCCGGGGTCAGAGGGGGGCGCCCTCCGGGGTTCCCCTCCAGCCGGGAACCCCGGGTGCTGCCACAGGTCTCCGTGCATTTGTGGCCGGAAGCCTCTTTCCCGTGGAAACACGGGCGGGAACTTCAATGTGCAGACCGCGGTACGCCCCGAAGGCTCAGCACGCAGGACGGGAGGGTCCCGGGTTCATTTCGGGCCAAGGGCACCGACCCTGATTGCAAGTTCCCTGGCCCCGGTCGGGGTGTCTGCAGGAGGCAACCAGTCAGTGTCTCTCTCACCGACGTTTCTCTCTGTCTCTCCTTCTCTCTCGTCCCCTCTCCCTAAACATCCATGGAAAATATCCTCAGCTGAGGATTAACAACAACAAAAAGACAGAAAAAGCCAAAACCGGTTTGGCTCCGTGGCTTGCAGACTGAAAGGTCCCGGGTTCGATTCCAGTCAAGGGCATGTACCTTGGTTGTGGGCACATCCCCAGTAGGGGGTGTGCAGGAGGCAGCTGACCGATGTGTCTCTCTCATCGATGTTTCTAGCTCTCTATCCCTCTCTCTTCCTCTCTGTAAAAAAAAATCAATAAAATATATATTTTTTAAAATAAATAAATAAAGCACAGAAAAAAAAAAACAAAGACAGAAAAGAAAAAAAAGAGGTTTCTTTTTTCTTTTTAAAAAAATATATTTTATTGATTTTTCACAGAGGAAGAGAGAGGGATAGAGAGTTAGAAACATCGATGGGAGAGAATCATTGATCAGCTGCCTCTTGCACACCCCCTACTGGGGATGTACCCACAACCAAGGTACATGCCCTTGACTGGAATCGAACCCGGGACCTTTCAGTCTGCAAGCCGACGCTCTATCCACTGAGCCAAACCGGTCCCGGCAAAAGGTGTTTCTTGAGGGACCATCGAGACCGGTGCCTGCCACCAAGCAGCTGAACCCCGAGCCCGGAGCATGCCCTGGAAAGTAGTTTATC